AAAACTACTAACATGAGTTTGACCAAACTGCAGGAGGCAGTGGAAGACAGGAGTGCCTGGCGTGCTCTGGTCCATGGGGTCACGAAGAGTCGGACACGACTAAACGACTAAACAACAACATCAACAACAAGTGGGGTGGGGGGGAGGAAGCAGGGGCGTTGTTACTGGTAAAATTTGCAGTTGCAAACTTTGTAAAAATAGTGCCACCAGAGATTGAACTGTGAAACAAACTTTATCTAACATGGTACATCTCACATTACAACTGATCTCAAAATGGCTTCAATTCTCCATTATCATTACATTTTAAAGGCCCAGTTAACAAGCCTCATCTGCCCCTCATTTCCCTCTACAGCACATGCAGAAACTGCCTTCTTGACCATTGGACCTACAACTGGGTTTGCCCACTCAATCTGCCAGAGTCTATCTTCACACACAGAGGATAATTCACCAAGGGTTCAAGACTCATCAGCTGCCTTCACAGGCAACCAGTTGAAGATGCTTCCTGAGGTGTGGTCACTGTTGTATGCTGACAGCTTCTAGGAACCACAGGTCAGAGATGATGGTAGCGTGGGGACCAAACGTGGATCAAAAGGAGCATGATGTGTCCCTTAAACAGAGGGCGCTGTCCCTCCTCTAATACCCCATACACTTGATTGCATTATTGCATTGTGTATTGTATTAATGTTGGAAACAGTGTTTTTTGTTATTAGCCTCCATGAGTGAGTTTTACTCATAAAGGTGGTCTAGAAATATTTTAAATAAATATGTTAAAATCATTCAAAGTTCAGAAGCAGACAAATCAATTCAAAGAGGCACAGTATCAGTAGAATTTACACCCACCTCACCCCAGGATGTGCTGGTGAGATGAGGATTCAGTCCTGTGGACTGTTGTTTTGCAAGCACTTTCCATAAGCAGAAGGCACATGTGAAGGAGCACCCTGCAGCCAGTAGGATTGAATCTTCTGCTCACCAGCTTTTATGAGGTTGACACCATTACTGGAAAGAGAAAAATTCTACACACAATTAGGAACCCAGCTTTTCAAGATTCCTGGTCCTGAGCAAGTCCCTACATGCATACACTTGAATACAGATGAGGTAGTCTCACACCATAAAATTAGCCTGATCCCATCTCCTATCACAATTCTGCTCCTTCAGTCCATGCATTCATTTATCCCATTTGTCATGTGAAAAAGGACTAGAGTTTATAGAATACAACATGTGCTATAATTTGTTATTGTTTTAATAAATCATGGTTGTCTTTTGCTGCAAAACCAGGGATAAGATGATAAAAATGGGGGGAAAGCATATCCAAAAAGGAAGAAACTCTGCAAGTTTAGAAATAACAATGGATATCAACTTCCTCACGGAAAAACCACAGAATTCTTGATACCATAATGTTTTCTTAATTCTGATTTCAGCTTTAAGCAAAGGAATTTTACAGACACAAAGAGGACACATTTCTGAAAGAATACCAGCCTTAGGGTCTGTTTATTGATTATCTTCTAAAAGTTATTTCCAGTAGTGCAAGTTTGGCATTGTTGCTTTTCAGTTAAAAGTTGGGTTAGTTTGATGACACCCTACTGAACAAATTCTAGAAAGGTGGTCATGTGCATCTGTGGCAACAAAAACTGCAAAGATTATTGCAGGACCTTCAGGACTAAGGACTAAGTATCCACTGTTCTTTCTCTGCTAGTTCTGTGGTTCAAGGGTGAGCTTTAATGTTGCATTCTGGGCAGGTGCTTTCCCCATATTCAAAAAGGGGAAGAAAGAAGACCCAGGTAACTATCGACCCATCAGCTTGATATCGATACCTGGAAAGGTCCTAGAGCAGATAAGTAAATGTGAGCACTTAGAAAAGGATGCTGTGATTACTAAGACCCAACATTGGTTTCTGAAAAACAAGTCATGCCAGACAAATGTTCTTTCTTTCTTTTTTTATGGAGTTACAAGCTTGGTGGATCAGGGGAATGCTGTGGGCACAGTATATCTCAATTTGAGTAAGGCTTTTGACAAATTCCCCCAAGAAGAAAAAGTTGGAATGGTTGAATGAGTTGGCTATGTTCAGTATGGATAAGAGGAAACTGAGAGGAGATATGATAGCCATCTTCAAATATTTAAAGAGTTGTCACATAGAAGATGGAGGAAGCATGTTTTCTCATGCTCTGGAGGGTAGAACCTGAACCAAAAGATTCAACCTACAAGAAAGGAGATTCTGACTAAATATCAGGAAGAGCTCTGGTAAGAGCTGTTTGACAGTGGAATGGACTCCCTGGGAAGGTGGTGGACACTCCTTCCTTGGAGGTTTTTAAGCAGAGGATGGGTGGCCATCTGTCATGGATGATTTGGTTGAGATTCCTGCATTGCAGGGGGTTGGACCACATGACCCTCAAGGTCCCTTCTAGGATTCTGTGATTACAGAGGAATCCAGTGCATCAGTTGTGCTGGCAGAAACTTGCTGCACAACAGATTGTGCAATTGTTTGTGCAATAAAGTTACCAGCAACCTTCTTATGCATCCTCCTGTGAAGCAATGTTGCTGGCACAACACATTTCGCCAGCACAAAATGTATACTGCTAAGTGATACAACCCCAACACATTTATTAAGACATGGGATTAAATTCAACAAAAGGATGAAAACTAATATTCTCTTGATAGTTATATGAAGTGGGCTCCTGTTCATGAACTCTTTAGCTGTAATAGTCTTTGAGGGCCAACAAGTTTACTTGTTCCTACAGATTGAAATTCCCCAGAGCTTGAACTAAGCTGGCAAGATAACACTGCGATTTAGGGTGCATTCTGCTAATAAATGAAACATGTACATGACTAAAAACAAAAAATAGAGGAATCTCCTCACATTATAAAACTTTTTGGTTAACTTAAACTGTTTATTGCTTTCTGTGCATATAGCAGTTGGTGATAAGAAATAAAATAAAATAAATATATAAATAACACTGTTTGGTTTTATTCGAAAATTAGTTGGTGAATTAAATTACTGGATGGGGAGAATGGATTTATGTAGACTAGCAAACCAAATTTGTGGAGATAAGGATAAAGAATAGAATCCTAATATTGGGGAGCCTGATACCTATTAAGAATTTGGATAGTGCACAAAGTGGTTTTATTTTAGGGAAGGGGTTAAATTCCCTCCTGGACAACTTTTCAAGGGCTACATGCCAGTGGTAGGAAGGGCCAGAGGCAAAAAATGTGCAAAGCAACAAATGCAAATTTTACCTTCGGACAGTAGGCTGGTTTTACACATGCTCACACTCCTTTCTCGGTCCTCCAGCCTGACATGCGAAAGGCATTATCAGAGTTCAAAGGAACATTCTAGCCAGGCAAAAGCACCAAGCAAGGTGAGTGGTGTGGCTGGGAAACTGGGGTGCATCTGAGGAGGTGGTGTTGTCCCAATAGCCAGAGAGAGCCCTAGAGGGCCACATCTGGCCTCTGAGCCTGAAGTTTCCCACTCCTGTTTCAAGGCAATGGCTGGTTGTTGTGCCCCGTTCCTCAAGCTTTGTTTCACAGGATAATGTGTTACTGGGCTCTGTAGGGTCTGCGCTGAATTTCAGAACCAGTGAAAAAGTCAACATCCAAAGCCAGGAAAAAGCTATCAAGACTTCTTGTGGAAAGGTATAGAATAATATAGAGTGGAGGTCTGAAAACAGGCATTGTCTGCTGTTGTCCCTCTACTGTGGAATCTCCTTCCCTTTGCCACATGTGAACCAGCAACCAGCAGTTGCTCCAGACATCTTGTGAAGACTCATCTTTTTGCCCAGGCTTTCCCTGACCCTGATTTATGTGTTTGAATATTCTAAATTTCTGTTTTATTCACTTATATTTGCTTGAATGTGTTTTTATATTGCTGATGTTAGGTTGAGTTTTTGTTTCAGTGTTTGAATGTTATGTTGTTTGCTAGACTATACACTGCTCGGAGCTTTGTGAAATATTATGTGGTATATAAATGCTTTTCAAAACAAACAAACAAATGCCCACAGAAATCACCTGCCTGAACAGGAAGACATGAAGCATGTGCCAGGGCTGCCTAAAGACACAAATGGTGCCCTTTACCACATAAAAAAGCTGACCAGATTTCAATACCAGCAATGGGACAGCATCTTCCAGTCTATCTGAGGGCAACAGGTGAACTTAATGGGTGCAAGGTGGACGGCATACTAAGTAGCTGTCTTCTAGTTAATTGCCGTCTCTCCTCCTCCCCACGCCTGCTGCCTGAGGTGGCCACTTTATTCCGCTTAATGGTAGAGCTGCACTGTTTATAGTTCTTACCTTCTCCTTTGCAACGACCTACTACAAAACTTTGGCCCAGTTCTCTCTTCACCTCCACACCTCTACCACAATCTGCCACTACCACACAGTATGTGCATGTGTCAGTCTATTCTTTCTCTCTCATTGGCTTCCTTTAGCAATCCTGACTCTTCCATGCCTGCTTAACATTTGCTTCTTTCTGCTTCCCCACCATCATAAGTACAGCTGATTTTCTTATTGCCTTAGGCCTTCTGGGATATTTTATCCCCAGAACCATGACTATTCATTTGCCATGCCTACAAATAGCATGGGCAATTTTGAGAAGCCAGGTGCACATAGCTCTAATTCTAACAGTAATACTGAGTATTCTCCACAGATCTGTCAAAGCAACAGAGCCAAAGGGCACCCTGACATACACAGCCTGAGGAAGGAAGGAAAGAAGGAAGGAGGGAAGGAAGGAAGGAAGTTGCACACATGTCCTGCTTGCAGGTTTCCTATAGATATCTAGTTGGCCACTGTGAGAGCAGGGTGCTGGAGTAGAAGGACCCGTAGGGTTCTTAATATGGTCATATGAAGCATGCATGTACAAATGCAAAATTTAAAAGATCTAGACAAACGATAAGTTAATGAAACAGCTATTTAATGTTACAGGGAGCTGATGGGGGTAGAATCATAAAACTGTAGAGTTGGAAGGGATCACAAGGGCCATCTAGTCCAGCCCTATGCAGTGCAGGAATATTTTGCCCAATATGGAGTTTGAACCCAAGACCCTGAAATTTAGAGTCTCAGGCTTTACCGACTGAACTATCCCAGCAGATTAACACTGCATCCATATCCAGATATGTTCCTTTTAGATTACCCTGGGATTTAGCAAAAGATTGCAGTCTTAAAGCAGCAATGATAAAATTTAGAATGTTCTGATATTCTGCGGAGAGTCTATGCCTATGCAGACAAAACAGCAAGAGCAACACACATAATGGGGAGGCATCGGTGCATTCAGCAGACCCTGAGCATTGCAGAAGTACACAAAATATTTAGGGAAAATAACAAGGTGGTGGTGGGGATGCTGAGCATGCTCAGTAGACCCCAAATGACTGAAAGTTGGGGCAGGAGATAGAATACTCTGTGAGAGTGGGGATAGTATGGAGTGTGGAAAAGGCACATAGATATAAAAATGTTACTGACAAGCATTCCAGTATCTGGACAGGTCATTTCCTGGTTCACACCAACAAGCCACTTTTAAAAGTTCACTTGAATGGAAGTAGGAACTATCCATAGGAAACCCAGATTTGGGCAACAGTGCATCCCACACCTAAACCCCACCCCAAAGCTTTTGTAGAAAGCATAAAGAAGAGCTCCCTCTTTCAAAATCAGGTTTTATTTAATGTGAAATACATATGAGTGCATGCGCATTCCGAAGCAAATTCATCTGTCTCCATTGCAGGTTGGAAAGTACTATGACTAGAGGAGAGTTGCTTACAGTGGCCATGCAGTGCAGTTCACGCTGAATATAGCAGAACAGACTCTGAGTGGTTTATAAACAATGCTGATATCCAGGCAGGATTTGGTGGCAAAAGGCTAAGTAAAATGAGCAAACGGGCCTCTGAATTCAGCAGGACTGGCATACCACATTTCAAAGAGATGGATAATTATATACAGAGCCGTTAAATACAAAGTTATCTAGCGTATGTGGTTGAAGGCTCAGAGTCTGGATGGCAATGGCACGCAGCTTCAGCTCCAGAAGCAGATGCGGAAACTTGCAAATTTACAAAGCACTGCAAAACCATGAGAATAGGGGGCAGCCCTTGGTTGCAGCCTAACTACTACTGTGATTTCCAAAGACTCTCCTCCCTGGAAGAGAGGGGAGTGGTTGTGGGCGGGAGCCCGAGCACCGCCCCTAGCAGGGGGCTGTTGCCCCCTGCCTCCACCTCACCTGGCTGGCGCCCACGCCCCCTCTGCAGGCATCCAACCAGGTGCCTTTGAGGGGGCGTGTTCAGCAGCCTTTTGCGGCGGCGCCAGCCTCTCCCTGGCCTCATTCTTCGCCGTCGTCTCGTCGCGAGTCACCCACCCTCCACTCCCTTTTAGCTCAGGGTCTTTGTTCTTTGGCCTTGCTATGGACCTTAGGTTGGTCGCCCTGGTTGTCTAGGGGGCCTGGTAGGAATTTTTCCATTTGGCATTAGGCTTTTTGGTTTCTTCGCCTACGTCGTAGCAATCGTCACAACTTTTTGTGGTATTGGTGGGTAGGTTAGGCATTGGAATAATGTGTTGTGGTGTGTCGAAGGGCTGGGTGTGGCCATCGCCTATGCCTTCAATTTTTGGGTATTCCGTTAAAGGAATCTGGCGGTTGTGTACTCTGTCCGATGCCTGCTTGGCGGGAGGCCATGGCACGACCCTCGGTGACATCAGGGGAGAGCCTATAGTTGGAGTAGCATCAACAGGCTCCACCTACTGGTGAATAAACCCCCTTGTTTTAGACATCCAATGCCTAAGCCAATACCTTTTCACTGCTGTAATCAATAAAGTTGTGGCCTTTTCTTGCCCATTAACCTTATATCACGTGTCCTTGTGTATTTATTTCATATCGCGGGGGTCGGGTCCTCGAACCACAACTGGATGTTCCAAATTATATTACCGCTTCAGATTTTGTGTGATGTGGTATATTGAATGTTATGGAAATATGTCATTTTCATATATATTGCACTTAATACCAGAACAAAGATGTTTTAGTTTAAGTGATCCTACACTGAGAATAATAACACAGTCACTCTGTTCTCTCAACTTAATTTTAATTCTCTCTCTCAAACTAATCTATGAACTAATTCATTGTAATTAAAGCTGGATTAGATTTCTTTTTTTTTTTTACTCCAAACCTTCCCATAACTCCTACTGAGTGACGAAGATTCATTTGCACAAAGTATAAAATTAGAAGAATCAGCTTTTGCCCTGGCTTAAGGTAAATGCCAGACATTTGTAATAAAAACTCACAGGTAGGTCTACCTCTGCAACTTGTAAAATCTGACATTTACTGAAGGAAGTATCTTTAAGAAGGAGAAGGAGAAGAAACACCACTTCAATTTCCATGTAATTGTTCCCTATTTCCAATTAAGTTGACAATTTATTAGTTTTGGTAAGCATGTGTGAGTATCGTAGGATACAAACTTACAAAATATGATAGTTAAATAATCTATCATCTTGCCCTGAGAGGAGGGGAGGAAATGGCCTTAAACTGAATGAAACCCAATGTTTTCTGCACCAGTTGGCAGCAGCTCTCTGTGGTTTCATTTGCCAGTTGCTGGGAACCACAGGTAAGGAGGATGCTGTTGCATCCAGGTTCTTTCTCTCTGGGATTCACATCTGGACAGCCACAGTGAGGACAGGATGCTAGACAATATGGGCCTCTGACCTGATCCAACAGGGCTCTTATTATATTCAGGTAGGGATCTTTCACAGCCACAGGCTGGGGATTCAACCTGGAATCTACTGAATGCAAGGCAGACATTCTACTACTGATTGATGCCCTTCCCCTGTAATGCTTCCTGCCTCTAGCTTCTAGCTGAGGTGCCCTCTCTTTCTTCCAAACAGCCACTATGATCTGCACCTCACTTCCATTAACAGCACATACAGAAACCACCTTATTGACTGTTAGTCCTACTATTGGTCTCAGCCAGAGCCCATCAACTACCCTCACCTGTTTTAGCTAGCCAGTCGGAGCCGGTGTGGCCACTGTTGCACACTGTTGGCTTCTTAGAGCCACAAGTGAAAGCTGAGTGCAGTGTGAGGGCCAAAGCTGGACAGACTACTCTAGAAGGAGCATGATGTGTCCCCCCCACCAGAGGTACTACCCCTCCCCTAACACCCCAATCTGAGGAATATCCTGCTCTCGTTGGAAGTGAGAGAGGACACAGACTAGCCTAGACAGCTGCCCATCATCAACCTACTGGTGTTCCAGCTGAGGTGACCTCACCCTCCCTCAACTGCCAGGGTGACCACACAGCTGCTCAACAGGCATCTTGGTCAGAGTATGGGCTCCATGATCTTGTGTGGGTCATGTGACATGTGTGGGAGTTGCAGCCAGGAAGATATTCCTTGGGTAGAAAAAGGATCACCATGCATGTTGCATATATTCACATGTCTAAAAGAAATAATTAAATAGAGAACCAAAGATCTGCCGCTACTGTAAGGCTACCATTTTATGTACACTTACTGGTAGGAAGCCCCTTAAACTCTGCTCTGAGTCAATATTGCATTCTAGGAGGACCTTAAAGATGGGTTCATTATTTCTCATTCCAAATTCACTAAGAAAGCATCCAAAGTTGAAGATTTTGGGTTAATGTTAACAGGTTTCAGAGACAGCTTGTTACTTATTTCTCTGGTTTTGGGGGAAAGCAACTAATTGCCTTGCATTTAAATGGTTCAGTAACCCATCTGATAAAAAGGAGGATTATTACTATATCCACTAAGAATGCTTCCTTAGTTTCACATTCACTTAAAATGTGTTGTGATGGGGAGAACAGCAGTCATTAGCTAAATATAGCAGTGCCAGTCTACAGATCCAGGTGGTAAAAATCAGTCCCGTCTGCTGTCACAGGGTCTGTGATGGCATCAGCAGGTAAAATAAACTCCTTTTCAGAAATGTGAATGCATGATACTGCCTTATATCGAGTCAAATTACTGATCCAGGTACTACCGTATCATCTACACCATACATAAGGTCCCAATAACCCTCCATATGTTGTTGAACTCCAGGTTGAAACAGCCCCATTTCCCCATTACCCCATTGGTAATGGTCAGGAATTATGAGACCAACAACACTTCCTTGGCCTACAGCCGTGTATGAGATGGAGATCTTCCTCCACTCTCAGTACCACTCTCCGTGGGGCAGCGCAGGAACTAAAAGACCTGAAAGCTGTTGCAAACTGTCTATTCTCAATTCTAGAATTTATTGGAGGTTCCCCATCCAGGTAAATCATGAGGAGTTGGTTAGGCAAGTGGGACAGTAACACTTTCACCCTCTGATCAGCAGATGGAACCTGGAATGCATCTACACTCATTGTTTATAACGTTAAAAATGTGTTATTAAAATACAACACCAGAGGGTGCTGCAGAGCAGTGAGCCACCAGCAAAGGGAAACTGCCATTAAATGTTATACATTATATTTTATAAAGTTTAGAAGATCAGTGTAGACCCAGACCTGATGTTTATTGGTTTGTGGTAACACAGAGATGGGCTTTTTCACTGGTGGCACCGGTGCTGTAGAAAGCTCTCCCAACTAAAATATTTTGGGCTCTATTGGTATTTCACCGGCTCTTAGAAGAGACATCCATTTAGATAACCATTCCCTGATCTGCTGGTTTGAACCTCATGTTTTCATTTTTGTTTTAATTGTTTTAAATTGCTATGCTGGTCTAATTTGCTTATTTATTGTACATTTTAATTACAGTATGGACTTTTAATGCTTTAATGAAATTGTTTTATTGTGCATTTTAATTGTGTGTGTCTATATTCGTTACAATTAGTTTTATACTTGTTAAATGGGTTAGAAGCCTTTCAGGCAAGTTAAGTGGTAAATAAATTAAATAATCATAATCATAGTATCAGCTGAATACAAGAAAATGGTCATGTATTAGAGGGGGAGCAATGAGATGATTTTACTCCTTCTTGAGTCTAATAATAATGTAAACAATGCACCCCAAATTAGAACATGGCACCCACAAAACTTCATGTCATTCTGCTGCTTTTTTGTTGTTTTCCTTTTGTCTTTTCTGTCACTATAGGTCTATTTTTTCTCTTTGTCTTTATGTTTCCCTTCTCAGT